GTTTCTCCCATAATTCTGCAATAATTGATGGTGACTCAATAAATAGTTGTTTTTTATCTGGTTTTCTATTTAGAACTACATTAAGTTTGCTTATCCAGGGGCAGATTAACCAGGAAGCACACTATGCACCGGTTTACAGTAAGCAAGATACGCACAGGCTTAATTGTGCTTACTTACTCATCTGTAGTGCATAACACAATTAAGCCCGTGCATACCTTGCTTATTGCGTAATCTGTCCCTGCAAGTTATTACCGCTGCTCTTTTAAATTCCCACTGCTGAAATCTAGGACAAGTGAATGATTTAGAATAAGAAGACCAAGTTTTGAATTTCACCTTAGTCATTTATCATCCGTGTGGTCTTGGGACAGCAACTTAAACTCTCTGAACCTTGATTTTTCTCATCTGAAAAATGTTGATATCTTTGAGAAACTTAATTTAGAAGATGTAAGTGAAAGATTTCTATCTGTCACAGTGTTTATCAAATTCTTAAACATGCACAGGAATCACATGAGGATCTTGTTAAAATGAAAATTCTGATTCAGTAGGTCTGCAGTGGACCCTGAAATTTTGTAGTTCTAAAAAGCTTCTAGGTGATGCCAGTGCTGCTGTTATTCTGTTGCTGCTGGTGTCACCAGGCAGCTGGTTAAAAATGCAAAATCTCAGGCCCCTACCCAGACTTAGTAAATCAGAATCTGCATTTTAACAGGATCCCCAGGTAATTAGTAGGAACATTCAAGTCTGAGCAACCTTGATCTAGAACCAGACCTGGCACACTGTAAGCACACGTTCTAAATGTATTATAAATTTTGAATCATCACAGCAAATGTGTGCAGGATTTAGATGGATATAACATACTTTTTTCTGTTTAAAAGTTGAGTTTGAACAATCTTGCCCAGGTGTTGCTTTTAGCTAAAGAGCGGCCTTCACCCAGGTCAGGCTTCTACTTCCTGATTAATTGAATAATTAGCAGCAGTTTCAGTCAAAGTCTGCATTATCAAAGCCCTTGTCATCCTTTTCTTCACCAAACCTCATGTTTTAAGTAATTTATTTAGAAACTACATTTACTAACTAAAATATGATTTGCTTTCCTATGTATATTTATCAGAGATTACCTTTAGGAGCTTCTTATTAGAATGATATAAACAAAATTAACACACCAAATTGATATAGTTCAAGCCAAAACAAAGAAGCTTGATGTTTGCATTAGCCAATACAGTTTTATTGTGGATACATGAAAAAAATTAATACTGAAGAAGTCTCTCAGGCAGTTGGGGGCCCCCCAACTTCTATTCTAGAAGCCTAGCTGCTGGTGGTAGCCTTTTAGGGAGTGAGAGCCCAGATCAATTAGGAATATGTATAAATATATTTTAAGCTTTCAAGTAATATGCCATAAAACCTGGTAAATCAATTAATTTTTATGAATAACTGTTCATAATAGATCAATTTTTCTATCCACTATTTTCAGAGTTATATTATTTCCTATAACTTGGTAAGGCATTGATTTCTAATTCATACTTTACACTGGAGAGTAAAAATATGAGAATTAGATGGAACCTCTAATCTCATATTTTCATTTGTACAAGAGATTTATTTTCTCTTTTGAAGGACTTCTAGTTTAAAGTGAACTGAAGCTTTTGTATTTCTAGTGACAAGTTCTCTCATTTCTTAATTTCTTCTTCATTTTTCAAGGAAAGTTTTGCTGAATATAGAATTCTTGTAAGACAGCCTTTTTCTTTTAGCATTTTGAATATGTCATCCCATTGTGTTCTGGCTTCCATGGTTTCTGATGAGACATCACCAGTTAATCTTATTGCATAACCACTGCACATGTACAACCAAACACCTCATGGGATGTGGTTTCTTGGTTTGGAAATTTAGGACCATGGGTCATCCCAGTTAATTGTCCTACTATCACGTTTAGTGCTTCTGTTCTACCTTCTAGTTTGTTGTGTAGTGCCTGGGGTCTTAAAATCTTGCAAGCAGCCATCCAATGTACAACAATTGGTCTATATTCACCTGGAGCAATAGAGGAAGAAGAGCACCAGGAATAGGAGGAGAAAATTGAATGTGTGGCCAATTGCCACCATGAACAACTGCCTCCTTTACCATGAGGCCAGAAGAACTAAATAGTGCCTGGCTACCATTACTGAACGTTTTGATCAAAGATTCTATGTAAGAATCCTGATCAAAAGGGGGAAAATGTAGAACAGAATTTTAAAATTCTGATAGAATCTAGACTTTCTGCAGTCATTGAGATTGGATGTGACCCAAAACTATTGCCATGAGATAATTATAGTAATTTAAACAAAAATATTCCCTGAAGTCTTCTTTAAACCAAATAATTGTTTAGCTTAATTAGTAAAGAATGTCTGCCTTGAGCTTTGTTCTCTTTTAAGAACTGTCTATGGGATCAAAATGACAACAGCAATTCGAAAAATTATATAGGAAACTTAGGGAACAGTGAGTTTTTGTTAATGGGAGAGGAACAATTCAGAAAGGAGGATGAGAATAGATGCACTACTTGAAGAATGTAATCAGTGTCACTGAACTGTACATGTAGAAACTGTTGAATTTGTGTGTGTTCTGCTGTGTATATTCTTAATAACAACAACAAGAATATATATATATTTTAAAAAGACCCACTGGCTTTGTCTTATGACAGTTTGACTATAAGGTGTCTATTTATAGATCTCTTTGTATTTAGCCCACTCGAATTTGTTGAGCTTCTTGGACATGTAGATTAATGTTTTTCATCAAATTTGGGAAGTTTTTAGCCATTATTTCTTCAAATATTCTTTATGCCCCTTTCTCTTCTCTCCTTCTGGGACTACCATTATGTGTATTTTGTTAGGCTTGATGGTGTCCTCCAGGTCTGTGAGGGTCTATTTTTCTTCATTCTCTTTTTCTCTAATTCTCAGAATGGATAATCTCAATTGATCTGTCTTCAAGTACACTGATTCTTTATTCTGTTTGATGAAATCTACTGTTGATCCCCTCTAGTGAATTTTTTATTTTAGTTATGTTACTTTTCAATTTCAGATTTCTATTTGGTTTATTTTTGTAAATTCTGTCTCCTTATTAATATCTATATTTGATGAGAAATTGTTCTCATACCTTCCTTCAGTTATTTAGGCATGGTTTCCTTCAGTTATTTTAACACATTTATAGTAGCTGATTTGAAATTTTTGTCTAGTGAATCCAACATCTGGACTTCTTTAGGGTCAGTTTCTATTTACTGCTTTTTCCCTGTGTATAGACCATTCTCCCTTTTTGCTTTGCATGTCTTATACTTTGTGTTGAAAAACTGACATTTAAATGATATAACAGTCTGGGAAATCTAGAAATTAAATTCTCCCCTTCCCTAGGGCTTGTTGTTTTTGCTGTTTATTGTTATTGTTTGTTTGTTTAGTGACTTTTTAAACTAATTCTATAAAGTCTATGTTGTTTGTAGTGGGTGTCCATAACAAACAATATAGACTTGATTAGCTTAGTGGTCAGCTAATCATTGGCCAGAAACTTCCTTAAAAGCCTGGAACCAAAAAGTCTCCCAGTCTTTGTCAGGGAGCTCTGTGTGTATTTTGGGGCAAGTCACACTAAGCCAGGAAGTTTACCACTCTGCCTTACATTTCAGTTTCTGCTTTTGCAGAGCCTCGAGGCTAACCAGAGGTGAGAGCTTAGGGCCTTCTTGATCATTCCTGAGCATGCACAGAGCCCAAGACATGCAAACAACCCTAAGCATACATGTGGTCTTCTAGAGTCCCAGAAATATACTGGAGCTTTTTGAAGTCCCCTTTGCACATCTAATTCCCCAGATTTTCCTTTTAAGCTTTTTGGATAGTCTATTGTTTGTTCCAGCTATTATCCAATGCTTCAGGCAACTGTAAAGTTAAACAAATATGGCACTGATTGTTTTTGACAAATGCCCCTGGGAAAAACACTATTCACACAGGGAAAGCTCCAAGTTAAATCAAATAAATACTAGCCTTGTGAGTGGGGTCTTACAGAGAACCATCAGATAAGTAAAATAATGACAGTTATCTGGGAGTCAGGCTTTGAAGGAGTTTCAATTCTGATCTTTCCATTTCAATGGCTACTAGACTGCTGGTTTCCACTGTGATATAGGCAGTGGGTTTTCAAAGCTTCTGCAAAGCTGGGGAGAGAGGAAGAGAATAAGGCAAGAACTTGCTGTTCTTTCTGAGAGTCAGCTGGTTTTCTTGAATAAGTGCTCTCTGGATTGCTCTAAATCTTGGTTAATTTTCAGAGTTCTCAAAAATTGATTCTGAAAATTTTTTTCAGTATTTTCACTGCTTTTTTGGAGGATAGGATTTTTGGAAGTTCTTAATCAACCATTCTGGATGATGTGACATAAAATGCCCTGAAATTTTTGAATGATGAGCAAAAGTCTTATGAACTTTATTGTCTTGCTAGATTAGACAGACAGACCATGTATCCACTAAAAGGTTGGGTAAGGTTCTATTTAGAGATGCCGTTAAAGGATCTTGATGGTTTGGGCAATTGTCAGATGCAAAAGACACAGTGACCTCCTTCTAAGAGTATTTTTTCATAATTAAATGTCAAACTTGCAGGAAATGTTGTATAATGATGATTAAGATTAAGATCCTTGTCTTTGGAACTAGAACATTTGAAAAAATAATGGCTGAAATCTCCCCAAATTTCTGAGTCTGCTCCTTAGTAACTTTGTAGCTTTGGTCAAGTTACTTAACCTTTAAAATATGATGATAATAACAATAATGACTCCATAGAGTTGTTTTAAAATCCAAATAAACTAGCAAAAGTATTTGGCATACTTCATGGCACATATTGAATACTCAAAAAATTTTAGCTTCTGTTTCTATTTTTATCATTAAGAATATAGCTCAGTACTGCTAATGGTTATGCTTAATACTCACCTAAATGTGGTTCTTTAAGACTCACATTCAAAATAGAAAATAAATCAACATTTTATTGCTCATAATAATTTGTTTCCTGTGTTCCTCCAGGCACTGTGGTGGTACAACAGTTGATGTCAATGATGATTAGCAAACATGATCGCCTCTTCCCCAAAGATGCAGAACTACAAAGCAAGCCCCAAGATGGAGTGAGCAACAACAACAATGAAATTCAGAAGAAAGCAACCATGGGTCAGTTACAGAACAAAGAAAACAATAATTCCAAAGACAGCCCTGGCAGGCAATGCTCTTGGGATAAGTCAGAGTCTCCCCAGAGAAGTGGCATGGACAATGGATCTCCCACAGCTCTATCAGTCAGCAAAACCAACAGCCCACGGAACAGCGTTCACAAGCTGGAGGTCTCTAGGAGCCCCCCTCTCATGGTCAAAAAGAACCCAGCCTTTAATAAGGGCAGTGGGATAGTCACCAATGGATCCTTCAGCAGCAGTAATGCAGAAGGTCTTGAGAAAACCCAAACCACCCCCAACGGGAGTTTACAGGCCAGAAGGACCTCTTCGCTGAAGGGGTCTGGTACCAAGATGGGCACCCACAGTGTGCAGAATGGAACAGTGCGCATGGGCATTTTGAACACCGACACCCTTGGGAACCCCATGAATGGTCGCGGCATGAGCTGGCTGCCCAACGGCTATGTGACCTTGAGGGATAACAAGCAGAAAGAGCAAGGAGGAGAGTCAGGCCAGCACAACAGGCTCTCTACCTATGACAACGTCCATCAACAGTTCTCCATGATGAACCTCGATGACAAACAGAGTGTTGACAGTGCCACTTGGTCCACTTCTTCTTGTGAAATCTCCCTCCCTGAGAACTCCAATTCCTGTCGCTCCTCCACCACTACCTGCCCAGAACAAGACTTTTACAGTGGGAACTTTGAGGACCCTGTTTTAGATGGTCCCCCACAGGACGATCTTTCCCACCCTGGAGACTATGAAAACAAAAGTGACCGGAGGAGTGTGGGAGGTCGAAGTAGTCGTGCCACCAGCAGCAGTGACAACAGTGAGACATTTGTTGGTAACAACACCAGCAGCCACAGTGCACTGCACAGTTTAGTTTCAAGCCTGAAACAGGAAATGACCAAACAGAAGATAGAGTATGAGTCCAGGATAAAGAGGTGAGGAAAATCTGGAGCTTGTAACTGCCAGAGAGGCTGCCATAGCTTTCTACTGAGGGACAGGATCCCACAGAAGATTGATTATCCTGGCTATAAAGTCAGAGAGACCCAAGTTCACGTCCCTGTTTCACTCTTTGTGAGCTGCGGGGTTTTAGGAAAGTTCAATCTCTGTGAGCCTTGGTTTCCTCATGTAAAAATTCAGATACTAGTAATATTTATCTCAAAAGCTTTTAAGAATTCAATGAGCCTTGTCTCTGGCACAGAGAAGGTGCTCAATGATGTTATATTTTGTTATTATTAAATATGTGAATTTGTATTAGAAGACTGGAAGAGGAGGAGCTATGAGGAGGTGAACAGAGAATGAGAAGCTGGTTAATTTTCACTGATAAGAAGAGGATGAAATTAGGATAAAAATAAAAAGGTGGTGGAGAAGTAAACATACCTTTATTTTTCATTTTTCAACCAGTGGATGCTGAGAGAGTGCCTGCTATCTGCCATGCTCAATTCTGCCTCTGAGGATTTAACATAAAGACACCAGAATAAACCCTGCCCTCAGGGAATGTGCTTAGATTATACTGGGTGAGACAAGATACTAAGTAAAATACACCATATCTAAGTAGAAGGGTTAAGCAGGAAGATGCTAAGAATTGTTGATGATGTGTAACTTTAGACAGGTTGACAGGCGGTAAAAAAAGGAAACTGTGCAGATACGTAGGGAAAGAGTAAGTGCAGATGCCCCAAGATGGGATGTGAGCAGGCAGGAGAGCAGTCAGAGATGAGCTCAGAGAGGTGACAGAGACCAGGAGACACAGGGTTCATTTTAAGTCTGGTTTGTACTGTGAGATGAGAATCCATGAAGGTTTTTGAGAACAAGGATGACATGAAGTTTGTTCACAGGGACAAGGGAAACCATAGCTTAAATCGAGAGTGTTTTAGTTACCTAGTGCTGCTATAACAAAATACCACAAAATTGGTAGCTTTAAAGAAGAGGGATTTATTGTTTTGGAGGCTAGAAGTCTGAAATCAGGGCATTGGTAGCAGGGCTATGCTCTCTTAGTCCCCTCTAGGGGGAGATCTTTCCTTGTCTCTTCTAGCTTCTGGTAGCCTGAAACATCTCTTGGCATTCCTTGGTTTGTAGATGTTATCTTCACATGGTGCCTTCCCCCTGTGTGTCTCTGCTTTCATGTCTGTTTAGGACACACCCTACTCCAGTATGATCTCATTAACTGATAACAACAAGTACATATTTTCAAACAAGTTCACATTCACAGGTAGAGAAATTAGGACTTCGACATATTTTTAGGGGGGCACAATTCAGTCCATAACAGGGAGCAAGGAATATGATTTCTGAGGAAGCAGTTGTGATGAAACCTAATTTATTACAATTACAACTTCCCATAGGATGTCCATGGTAGATATTTGCTTAGCAACTTTCTCAGGTAAATAACCCAGGCAAGATAAGAGGCACTGGCTGAATGTCCTGTATTCACAGTTCTCCTGGGTGTCATATGCTGTGTTACCTCGAGAGGCAAGAATGTAGAGAATGGAGCATAGACTCACTAAGTATAACCTGGTCCAGAAACCTGAGAATCACCACACCCAGCATCTTCACCAAGATCATAGAAGCTACACAACTGAGTGTTCCTATGTTCTCTGTTCAGTGAAGTGTAAAGGAAAAAATACTGAATTATTAAGTCAGAAGAACTGGCCCAAGGCTGGTTTGGCACTAAGTAGCCCCTTTATTGGTCTGGCCCCATTTCAGACTGTGTGACTTGTGTGGACCGCTTCTTGCATGAGTGTTCTAGGATCCTCAATAGTTTGTCCATATTAGTCTTTGTCCTGCTTTAGCTTCTTCCATGACTCTAAACTCCACATGGTTTTTTTTTTTATATATATAACCCGTTGCCGTTGAGCAATTCTGACTCATAGCAACCCTATAGGACAGAGGAGAACTGCCCCAAAGGGTTTCCAAGGAGCAGCTGGTGGATTTGAACTGCCAACCTTTTGGTTAGCAGTCCCAACTTTTAAACACAGTGCCACCAGGGCTATTTTTTTTTTTATTTTAATTTACCTTAATATGTTTCCCATCCATTTATCAATTATTGGGCGAAAACATACACATTTTTAAAAGCCACGCTAAAATAAGCAAGAAGAAAAATACTGTTTATATACAGGTAGTCTCTGACTTACGACAGGGTTCCATTCCTATGACTCTGTCGTAAGTAGGTTCTGATGTAAGTCAAATACCTCTTTTTCTTTCTTTTTTTGTTAGTTTTTATTATTAATGTCTTTTATTATCAGTAGCTTCTAAATCCACACTTTATTTCTCTTTCGGGATTGGAAACATTACATACAAACTTACAGATTTGTTTTAATACATAAATGCATACATACTACTAACGATAGGATGTACAAGAAACAAAACAAAATACAGACTGTTGGAAGTGCAATTCGTCATAACTCAAATCCATCATAAGCTGGGGACTACCTGTATGAAATTTAAAAATTACTTCTTTCTAAAGTATTTTTTATAGCTTCGCTCAACAGAAACTTGATTTGGATTTTTCTATATAATGCTGAATGACAAGAGGTTTAAATAAGAAGAAAAATGGTGTCATCTTACAGGGTTACTCTGCTGTTTATTTTTTGTTTTTTCTTTTTTATTTTACTGTTGTACTTTAAGCGAAAGTCCACAATTCCAGCTAGTCTCTCATACAAAAATTTACACATACATTGCTATGCGACCCAATTGCTTTCCCTATACTGTGACAGCACACTCCTCCGTTCCACCCCTGATTTCCCGTGTCCATTCAACCAGCTCCTGAGCCTCTCTGCCTTCTCATCTCACCTCTGGACAGGAGCTGCCCGTTTAGTCTTATGTATCTACTTGAGCTAAGAAGCACACTATCCACAAGTATCATTTTATGTTCCATAGTCCAGTCTATGTCTGAAGAGTTGGCCTCGGGAATGGTTTTAGTTCTGGGTTGACAGAGAGTCTGGGGGCCATCTTTCTGGGCTTCCTCCAGTCTCAGTCAGACCATTAAGTCTGGCCTTTTAACTAGAATTTGAGTTCTGCACCCCACCTTTCTCCTGTTCCATCAGGGACTCTCTGTTGTTTTCCCTGTCAGGGCGGTCATTGGCGGTAGCCAGGCACCATCTAGTTCTTCTGGTCTCAGGCTGAAGCAGTCTCGGTTTATGCGGCCTTTCTGTCTCTTGGGCTGATACTTTCCTTGTGTCTTTGGTGTTCTTCATTCTCCTTTACTCCAGGTGCGTTGGGACCAATTGACACATCTTAGATGGCCGCTTGCTAGCTTTTAAGACCCCAGACACCACTCACCAAAGTAGGATGCAGAACATTTTCTTCATAAACTTTGTTATGTCAATTGACCTAGATGTCCCCTGAAAGCATGGTCTCCAGACCCTGCCCCACTACTCTGTCCCTGGAAGTGTTTAGTTGTATTCAGGAAACTTCTTAGCTTTGGTTTAGTCCAGTTGTGCTGACTTCCCCTGTAGTGTGTGCTGTCCTTCCCTTCACCTAATATAATTCTTGTCTACTATGTAGTTAGGAAATAACCCTCTCCCTCCATCCCCACCCTCGTAAGCATCAAAGAATGTTTTCTTCTGTGTTTAAACCTTACTCTGCTCTTTAAATGTAGTTTTTGGAACCACTGGCCACTGGAATTCTGAACTTCTGCCAATGCACGATGATAAATTAGCACTTAACACTGAGAAGCTTATCTTTAAAGATAAGGGATAACACTTTAAATTTGTATTAGGAGGGGAAGACATTCAGAATCACTGCATATGTACACATTCATTTCTGAGAATGTTTGTGATACATGTATATTCTGAGATCTATGGTACATTCCAGAAACTTTGATGAAATAACAGAACTTTCCAACAGAGGGCCAATGGTTCATCTCAATGTATTATTCTTACTCACATAATCAAGGTACAGGGAGAGGTCTGCAATAATTAGGGCAAAAGTGGAGGAGGATGCCATATGCACAAGCCATGGAAATATGTCAGCTCTTCCAGCTAATTTTTATTTATTCTTGTTTAAAATCATGCATTTCTCGTTAAATGTCTTTTTAACTGAAACCCAGAAGTATTTAGATGATAGATAAATATAATTTACTTTCTTTGTTTAATCATTGATTGATACATACAGTAAAACTCGCAAAATCCAGAAACTGTGTAAGGCAGAAACCTATCAGAGAAGGAAAACTCAAACATTTTCCACTAAAATGAGTGATAGAAAGTGATAAGATTTCACCTTGTCAAAAGCAGAAACTTGTGAGATCCGAAAAACAAGGCAGTACCATTGAGTTTGGGCTTTCACAGGTTTCACTGTATATGGAGTCCCTGTGTGGTGCAAACAGTTAAGCGTTTGACTACTTGCCTAGAGGTTGGCGGTTCATTCTTACCCACAGGCACTTCAGAAAACAAGCCTGATGATCTGCCTTGAAAATCCTATGGAAGAGTTCTGCTCTGCACACATGGGGTCATCATGAGTCAGAAGCAACTTGACGGCTACTAACAACAACAAATATATATGTATACACACACACACGCATATATACACAAACACACACACATCTATATATACACACGCATAACCCCAACCCACTGCTATTGAATTGATTCTTATTCATAGCAACACATACACACACACAAAAATATGTATTAGTTTTTAAGCATATAGGTTTGGTGTTCTTTCTTCCCCCAAATTAGTTGCTACCTTCCTTGTATTATATTGTGGCCATAGAAATTAGATTGTATGATGTCAATTCTTTGGTCTGGTAAAAACTATTTATTCTATTATTATTGGATTGGATTCTATATATAACCAATAGATTAAGTCTGTTCAAATTTTCTACATTTCTCCTAAGTTGTATCATATGGATATACTATTTTTCAGAAAGGTATCTTAAAATCTCCTAATATTCCTGGTTACTTATCAAATTTTTTGTAATTCTGTTAGATTTCTTACTGAATAATTTGAGGTGTACTACTAGGTAAATAAAAGTTCAGAATTTTTATATTTTCCTGATAAATTATTCTTTTTATCATTAAGCATTAGCCATCCGTAATTGTAATAGTGCTTTTAGCCTGAAAATCTAGTCTTTCTTTTGAAAGATATATCTTTTTCTATCTTTAACTTTCAAACTTTGTTTCATTATTTTATCTGAGAACTTACATATTTTTCAATTCTGGATCCACCACATTTTGTCTATTCCTTCTCCCCAATTTTCCTAATTTTTTTTTCCTTTCTAGGATCTTCTTGTTCTGTCATCCATGTCTGTTCACCTCTGTTATGTATGTATATGTTTTGAAAATTTCTATCTTTATCTTTCTATGTGACATTCTAGGTGATTTTTCTCAGACCTGTTTTCCAGTTTACTAATTCCCTCTTCTGTTGATTCAATTCCACCACTGGAAGAGGCCAATGAGTAGAGTTTTTCAAGTTCCTCTTTCATAAAGACAATTGATGTTCTAAGCTCTCCACTGAATCACTTTCATCTCATATCTCTCTATACTGGAGGCCTCATCTCTTGTTACCATGTGAAAAATAAAACCTAGCCCCCAGCTTCTAGGGCCTCTATCTAGGACCAAGATCCTTTGCATGCTCCCACTTACTGTTCTGAATGTGAGTTTCATTCTCAGTTCTGATACCTGAATTTTTTTTTTTTAATTTATTTTAACCTTGACTATGCATTTTAAAAATATTTTCGTTATGTATTTTTCCAGCCTTTCTATGTGTTTGCATTCAGAGGGATTCCTCTGTATTCAACTCAGCCCATTAGATTCCTGGAAGTTTCATGCAAATACCTGATGCACATAAATATATCAAGATATTGTTTTGTAAACCTTGTTTTTTGTATTTAAGCTACAGTTTTCTCCAGATTCTTTTTTAGTTATAAAATAAACAACTTTAGAAGAGAATATATTGTAGAATAATTCTGAGTGGCACCCAGCACAACCAGCCTCTTATATAAAAATGTGATCATGTATTTAAATAACCTTTAAAATTATGTAGCATTACAGAATAAGAAGTATTATTTTTAAAAATCCAAGCTGCTTACAAAAGGAGGGTAGATTCATTTTTAAGCATTCTTATTATCTGGATGAAATATCAACACATAAGCTCATTGTTTTCAAAACAGAAAAATAATTGAGATTTTAATTTTAAAATTGTTATTAAAATAGTCAGATTTCTGAGAGCTACACAAGCATTAGTCTTTCAAATTTCAGTGGTATGGTAAACTCAAAGATGTCCCAGGGGACTTCAGCTCAGACTAGGAGAGGTGAAAATTAGGCTTTTGCCAAGATTCATCTTTCTAATAAGCAAGTACTGTTTTGTTTAAAAAATTACGTGTGCTTTGTATCTTAATTCTGGAGAAGGCACAGTCTCTGTTTTTAAGGAAGTTACCTAAAGTTATATAATTTTTCAAAAGAATATAGTTATCAATTTATAGAGATCTAAAATACCTATTTCTTAAGATATATTAATAACCCTGGAAGGCAGTTAGAATTGAGGATAGCAGTGTACTTGCGTAGGCTCCAGTGTTACAAAATATCAGGCTGATTGCTTATTTAACACATGCACTCTCTACCTCTTTCGTCAATGTAAGGGGCTACTTTTGGCACCACTTTCATAAACCAGAACTCCAGAAAAGTCCAGTCTTAGCAGTGAACTTAATTTATTATTGCCATTTTTGCTATCAGTATTTTTCCTTTGATAGAAAGCAAGTATCATTGCCCTCCTTTTTCTTCCAACTTTTTCAAACTTTCCTCCTTTCATTTAGTAAAGTCAAATTTACATTTAGTGTTTTCCAGGAAGCCTTCTGGGTTGGGCTACGTCCTGCTTCTGCAGCTTGGGTGCTGCATGACATGAGTCTCTGGCTTCTCTGTGCTGACTTTCATTTTTTCACTATTAAATGACAATTAAGTGCTACCAAGATTCCAAGAGATGTCTTGGGTCTTTATTGCTAAAATTTTAATAAATCATCTAAGCAAATATTTTAAAAACACAACAAAATAGCACCTTTTAAATAACTGAGTCTTGCTTGACTGATTTGAAGGGGCTTGTTCAAAGTTCCCTAGCATTGTAGAAATGGGATTTAGAAAAATATTTGTATCCCTCTCATATTTCAAGTGAATAAAATTGCTTTATCTCTTATTACCCACCCCCTCCACCCTTTGCAGCTTAGAACAGCGAAACTTGACTTTGGAAACAGAAATGATGAGCCTACATGATGAACTGGATCAAGAAAGGAAAAAGTTCACAATGATAGAAATCAAAATGCGAAATGCTGAGCGAGCAAAAGAAGATGCAGAGAAAAGAAATGACATGCTACAGAAAGAAATGGAGCAGTTTTTTTCCACGTTTGGAGAGCTGACAGTGGAACCCAGGAGAAGCGAGAGAGGAAACACCATATGGATCCAGTGAACCTGGTTTCTCCCGCTCTCTCCAATGGCTGTGGGAAGGACTCTGGGGATTCTGGTGGGATAGTATATGGGAACAGGTGGCTGGTCACCTGACTGTACAATGCTCTAACTGGTGAAGGAATATTATTTACAAACATTAACCATCCACATTTGCAATGTGTACCAAAGTTCTGTCATGCCCCATAATGCTACTGTCAAGTATTACAACTGGATATGTGTATATAGAGTAGTTTTTAAAAAGTAAACTAAAAATGAGAAGCATATCTCAAGAATTATTTTATTGCAAGTCTTGTATTTAAACTGTTAAATCAATAAGTTGTTGCAATTTAGCTTGCTTTCAAGCTTCACCCCTTGCACTTAACATAAGCTATTTTTGGCATTGTGTTATCATCCGCTTATTTTATAGATCAATATTTTTATTTCCCCTTTTGCTGAGGAAATGAAGATAAGCAGAAATATAAATATATATGAATATATATATATATAATATGAGTTATTAAAATCAAAAGAATACTTTGTGGCTGTGCTGTTTGTGCCAATAGACCTTGCCCATGACCAAAAAGAGAAATGTACATAGTTTTATAAGATATGGTAGAATCACCAGGGACCTTTGAGCTGCTCTTTAAATTCTTCCCTTGGCACTGCTCAGTTTTCCTTGTGAGAGGATTTGATACAGGAAACTGGGGGCTCTGTAAATGCTGTCCCCTCATCTGCTTGCCAGGAGATGCATACCTCCTATGCAGGCTACACCTTAGAGGGAATTATTAAAAAAAAAAAAAAAAAAAAGGTAAAGAAAAGCATTTAACCAGTCATGCCTTGAACTACTCTGTCCTTCTGGACTGAATCTCTGTAACTGCTAGATGGTTATTAGTGGAATTCTTCCTGCTGTGTGGAAGTTGGGAACACTGCGTGCTGAACCATGCCCACGTGAGCACCTGCCCCTACTCACACCTCTCCCCATCAACAATTGCACTTCGGAAAGCTGGCGGTGAGATGTTATTACTATGTCTCTCCCAGTTAAACTGCTCGAGTGTGTGCCAGTAAAGTAACATTTTTCTCTCACTCAGGCTGTTTTCATTGTCATCTGAGATTCCTCTTTGCGCTACAGCTGGCAAAGGCAGTTTGCAGCAAGAGGGAGATGTTGGGGGAAAGAGGACCTGGGGAAGGGGATGAGTTTGGAAGAAACAAACACTAATTTTGCTTCTAATTCTGACAATGCTGTTCTTTCTTGTGGAAAACATATTCATTCTCAGTACTTTAAAACTTGACTGCTTAAAGGTCCAATTTTGACAGGATTTGTGAATTTCAGTAATGATAATTTTGTAAAAAAGCCCGAGGCTTGCTGGAACTAGAGTTTTGGGAGAACAATTCTGCATACTTCAATAAAACAATGATATTGAGGAGTCTGTCTTTAAATCTTCCTCACATTAGAATAAAAAGTCACAAAAGGCATCATCAGAAATAAAAACTACTTGAGTTTATGGGATTTGTGTGGTTTGAAGGCTGTATGTTTGTATATGTGTTATTTATTTTCAAGGGGCAGACTGGTGTTTATAGCATTCATGCTTGACACTGTCTGTTCTTTGTTTATATCCCCCTACTAAGCAAGCTCTTGTGGGCCCTCAGTATCAACCATTATCTATATAGCAATGACTTCTTTATCTTTAGTTCCATTTTCTCTCTCCAGTTTCTTAATCAGATACCTCCACCTGGATGCCCTATAAAAACCAAAACCAAACCCATTGCCATTGATTCAATTCCGACTCATAGTGACCCTATAGGACAGAGTAGAACTGCCCCATAGGTTTCCAAGGCTGTAATCTTTAGGGAAGCAGACTGCCACATCTTTCTCCTGTGGATTGGCTGGTAAGTTTGAACCACTGACCTTTTGAACTGCTGACTTAACCACTACACCACCTGGGCTCCTGGATGTCCTATAGGGAATTCAAACTCAAAACGTGCAAAACTGATCTCAGTAACTCCTCCCCGGTTGCTATGCCTTTTTATCTTTATCCCTCTCTTAGTTAATGAAACCTCAGACTGATCCAGGAAGCTGTATGATGCAGTAGTAAAAAACAAAGGCTGTGTAGTCTGCCTGGGTTCACATTTCTACAATTTATTAGCTGTTATTGAACTTTCCATGAATAACTTTTTTTAATCTGTACAATGGGAGTAATAAAAATACCTCTCTCATAGGCTTGCTATGTGGTTTCAATGAGATCGCTTGTGTTAGGGCTGAGCACATACATACCTAGTACACAGGAAGGATTTCATAAATGTTAATTTCTAATTTTTCTACTCTACTCTCTTCTTCATTATTAAATTCAGTCGCCAAGTTCTGTCTATTCCACTAAACCTTGTCTTTATATTCTGCTCTCTTTGATCAATTTCTCCTTACCTTTTTAAGAAAGCATCCTCCCCAGCCACTTTTACTCCAGTATCACTTCTCTACCTTCATCTTTGGCAGCCTGCCCTTTCTACATCACCCATCTGACCATATCCTGACCTTGCTAATAACATTTGATGAATCTCACCTGCCCACAGAATAAAACCCTTCCAGTCATGTAAAAGGCTCTAATTTCCAGTTTCATTCCCATCTACCACTTCCCCTATGCCACAGGCCATCCCATTTCATGCCTCTGGAACTTTCTACCTGCTGTTGCCATGTCTGTCTTGTCTGCCTTTCTTCCATCTGGCAAACTCCAATCATCCTTCAAGAGCCATGTCAAATATCAGCTCCCTCTTGAAGCTTCCTAGACTCTCCAAGCAGAGTTAGTTACCTTTTGGTTTCCCAATTTGTGTCTATCACTTTTAGCCCTTCCCTCAGCTGACTGTTTTCTTCACCAAATAAGCAGCATTTTGGGGGAGGCCGCATGGTGCAATGGAAATCACTTGCAACTGACAGCCAGACAGACTTAGTTATGAATCTCAACATGCCTTATGCCAGAAGCATGGCAATGACAAGTCACTTAACTTCTGTGAGCTTTAGTTTGCTTGTTTTTAAAGTGGAGATAATATCTGCTACAAGGTAAGGACATTGTAATGCTTAAAGGTGATAAGTAATGTCACAATATCCCAGTGCCTGGCACTTAGCTCCATTGATAGCTCTATTGATAAATGGTGGTACTTAAGCGACCAGAACCATATCCCATTTATCTTAAATCCCTCCACCCTCACCCCTATACAATTCTCTGGCTGGCCCAGAGAGTTATCGATAAAGTTGTTGAATGAGAAATATATATATAATCTTCCTGTAATTCAGCCATTGATTTTTGAGAGATGCTGTTATCAGTTTTAATTGTCAATTTCAGTCATGTTGACTCCAATCAATAGATTCCATGAGTAGCGTGTGCATCTGACTTCCATTAGTTCTTGTATTAGTTCAGTTAAAAACCTAAGAAATATCAACTGAAAGTGTACATAAAACTAAACTGGAAATTAGTAAGAATACAAAGAAGGTAGTGTCTAAGGTTCATTTGCTATGTCCTATACTTACTTCTTTAAACCTATCTAGGTAATTAAACTGCTTCGTAAATTCTGAGCTCAGAAGAAAGGACTTACTTCTAATTGTTGGGTCTACCATTCTGGCTTCATTGGTCAAATTACGTGGCTGGGTATCTTCTGTTGTTGTTAGGTGCCATCGAGTCGGTTCCGACTCATAGCGACCCTGTACACAACAGAACAAGACACTGCCCGGTCCTGCGCGTTCCTCACAATTGCTGTTATGCTTGAGCCCATTGTTACAGCCACTGTGTCAATCCATCTCGTTGAGGGTCTTCCTCTTTTTTGCTGACCCTCTATTTTACCAAGCATGATGTCCTTCTCCAGCGACTGATCCCTCCTGATAAAATGTCCAAAGTATGTGAGACATAGTCTTGCCATCCTTGCTTCTAGGGCGCATTCTGGTTGTACTTCTTCCAAGACAGATTTGTTCGTTCTTTTGGCAGTCCATGGTATATTCAATATTCTTCACCAACATCACAATTCAAAGGCATCAATTCTTCTTTGGTCTTCCTTATTCATTGTCCAGCTTTCACATGCATATGAGGTGACTGAAAACACCATAGCTTCGGTCAGGTGCACCTTAGTCCTCAAGGTGACATAGGTATCTTCTAGAGAACATTTAAAATAGAGTTGTCTATGTCATCTGGCCAACTGAAACATGGGTTTAATATGTAATATACTGTGAAATGACTAAAAACCCCAAATAGAATTTAGATAAAGCCATTCTTATTTATTTATTCACAAAAGGAGACCTCCTTTAAAAACAAAATTAGATTATTCCCAGGTATACTGATTACTGATATAATTATCTCATCTCGAAAATGTAGGAGAGTATTAAAGAATATTATATCACAAAACCCCAGTGCTCCTTATATTGCAGAACTGCTCCCAAAAAATATTAAGGTGGCATCACAGAAAAGAACATACGAGAACTTTTGGAATAAGAAATCTGGATTCAAATCCCAGCTCTGCCACTTTATAGCTGTCTGACCTCAACACATGTTAGTTAATGTCTGCAAGTCTTAATTTGTTTTTCTGTAGTGCAGATAATAATAGTGTCTCCCTCATAAGATTTTTGTGAGAAATAAATAAGATACCTGAAGTGCCTGGCACTGTGAGTAGGACATAGTCTGCGGTCAATAAATGGTAGCTGTCAGCTCTCAAGGAGTCCTGAGGTGGTGCAAACAGGCAATGCACTCAGCTGCTAACTGAAGGGTTGGATGTTCAAGTCCACCCAGAGACATCTTGAAAGAAAGCCTGGTGATCTACTTTAGAGGAATCATCCATTGAAAACCCTATGGAGCACATTTCTACTCTGAGACACATCAGGTTGCTATGAATCAGAATTGACAGCAACTGGTTAGGCTTTGGTTTGGTCAGCCCTGAAACTCTTCTGTTGAAAATGTGTTCCAGCTTCTAGAGAACATAACTGGGTTCTGGCCTCAGGAGTGTGACCAGAAGTGAAAGAGTAGCATGTTCACCTGCAGAAGGTATCATTATGTCCCTGTTCCAAAGGTTCTAATTTTATCTGTGCCCAGATAATGTGCCAGAGATTGATGGCAAGGAAGGACAGCCCAAAGCACCCTGAGATAATACAATCACCTCCATAATCTGAGAATAGTATCCAAAGAACTAGCTGTACCTGTCTTTCATCTACTCTGTCTATGTACACCCTAAAAAGGATGTCAGGTACTAAAAGTATCTGGTAAATATAATAGAAGTGGCTAAGGGCAGGGACCAGTAAAGATGTCTGTTCTCAGCATCATCATTGTTGTTGTTGTTAGATGCTGCCAAGTCAATTTCGACTCATACTGACCCCAAATGACAGAGTCAAACCTCCCTATAGAGTTTTCTAGGCTATAATCTTCCATAGAGCTACTGGATGGGTACGAACTGCCAACCTTTCAGTTAACAACAGAGTGCTGAACTGTTGCACCACGAGGGCTCCTTCAGCATCACCACTCATGAATATTTTCTGACACCTCCACATGCCAGGCCAGCACTAGGCCAGATGCCCTTGGAGACCTAGTGATGATAAATATGTCTACAATACCCACCACCACTACCCACCCCCACCAAAAAAAAACGTCATTGAGTCAGATTCCAACCCATAGCAACCCTACAGGACAGAGTAGAACAGCCCCATACGGTTTCCAAGGAGCTGCTAATGAATTTGAACCGCGGATCTTTTGGTTAGCAGCTCTATCATTTAACCGCTGTGCCACCAGGGCTCCCTCAATAATTACCATAAAACACAGTACCCGTACCTGTTGAGTTGATTTCCACTCATAGTG